ATGCAAAAGTTTTTTTTTTTGTTCAAGTCTTTTTTTTTTGTGCAGAGTTCTTTTTATCACGCAAAAAGAAATTTTTTTTATTTTTATTTTTGTAAATATTTTGTAAAGTCGTACAGTCCACAAACTAGTCACTCTAATCGTGCTAGAACTACTGACAACCTAAGAGTGTCGAGGGCAACGATCCCACCAAGAATCGGAGAATAGTATCATAGGTTCTTCCCTCTCCCTTATTGAAGATCCTTGAGATAGGAGATATTATTCTAATAATCTAACCTCGTATCCCTCGTTTAAACATAGCAATGTCGTCATCGCCATCGCCATCTAGACCCTAGACTTATCATAGTCCGATGATCCATATGCGGCGTTAAGAAATTTCCCCAATTGTCAGGAGGATTTGAGTGTAATATTCAAGCTCAAATCCCGGTGCAATGAGTTTCATTATAGGTTAAGTCATTGAAGGAATTTCACTGTTGATTTAATTAAGCATGGGTCACGTCTCGGTGCATCATGTCTAGTGTCTTAGTCAGTTTGTGAAAGTGTCTAGTTTCACCGTGCATTCGAGGATTAGGTGAATGAACTCTTACCTAGGATATGCTCCTAAAAACTTGGGAGGTTACACTGCAGAGATTAGGTAGATGAGCTCTAACTTAAGGTGTGCTCCTAAAGTCTAGGAAGACCATGCTAAGGATTAGGTGGATGAACTCTCACCTAGGGTGTGCTCCTAAAATGTAGGAAGCCTAAACCGATGACTAGGTGGATAGACTCTCACCTATGGTATGCACCTAAAATCTAGGAAGTCAACATTGAGGGCTAGGTGAATGGACTCTCACCTAGGGTGTGTGCCTAAGCTATAGGAAGCTTACACTGAGGACTATGTGGATGGGCTCACACCTAGGGTGTGCACCTAAAGTCTAGGAGGTCTACACTGAGGATTAGGTGGATGGACTCTCACCTAGGGTGTGCTCCTAAAACTCTAGGAAGCCTACTCTTTAACTTATACTTAAGGTGATTGAAGGTTCTCTATATCTTCTAATTAATTAAATCATCAATCCCCATCTTTATGACTTAACCATTTAAAAATAAATAAAACAAAGAAGGAGGTCGACCAACCTCTAAAACTAGCAAAGCTGAAAGGGGAAAAACAACAAGTGAATCGATCTAAAAAGAAACGTTTAAATGATAGTTAAGTAAAACTCAAAACAGTAGATAAAGCTCTCCAAATCCAACCTCAAAATAATAAATAAAGTTGTTAAACTCAACCCCAAAAACAGTAGGCAAAACTCTCAACAAAAATTGCCTTTTTGTAGGTGTTTGAGAACAAAATAGTAAATAGAAACAATCAATGGCATGGCTTGCTGTAGCATTATAAAAATAGGCATGTCATGCCAAAACCAAGGGATGAACTGCCAAACTTTCAAATTCAATGTACTTTATAAAATAATCACACACAATGTTATAAATTCTCAAGAGAATATTTATAATGATAAATCACTGTCTAAAGAACATGTGCAAAGGACTAATGACATTCAATACGACTCACTAAAAAAAATGAAATTTATCAAAGTTATGCAGGCCATAGATGATCATCTTTTGCATTCAAATGTAAGTAGTTACAAATTCCAAGAAGACAAATCATCAATGCTAGTATAAAACAACATAATTCACCTGTCAAAATGATGCTGAAATACAGGTTACAATGATCATTATCAGTTTATGCATGAGCCAATAAAATGTCACAAATTTCTTTAATCTCCAAGGAATATAAAAACAAACAGTGGAAAACTTGAATTACTCATTAAAAAAAATACAGATTGCAAGAATATCATGCTTGTCATCTGAGTCAGTTCAAAACGTAATCGGAACAAAAGTACATATGCAACCATACCTTCCAGTAGGAATAGAGGCTGAGTGAAGAGAAGTAAAAGAAGTTCAGCTCTGTAGCTCTATGTTCGTTGCAATCTCGTCACTGCCTCCTAGCAAGCTCCACTCGGATTGCTCTGAGGGTTTGGTTGAGAGAGTGGATGCGAAGCAGGCGAGTGGTAGTTTTGGTGCAGGAGGCGCGATCGAGAGGAGAAA